AGGGTGTGCAAGGGAGAGGTGAGAGTGAGATAAGGAAGGGAGGGGAACTATAGTAGGATGACAGGCGGGCTTAGCGCTCCTGAAGCTGAATCGATGCGACGTGCCCCCGTTCTTCTTCACTCTACTATCTCCCCCTTCTCTCTCTCCTCCTTCCTCACCTCTCCCTATCAGACGCTTTCCCCTCCCTCACTCTCTCCTCCTGCCACACACTCGCTCCCTTCCTCACCCTCCCTCTCTTCCACACACTCACCCTTGCTCACCCTCACCCTATCACACTCTCACTTCCTTTCTCACTTTCACCTTCACCCTTTCACACACTCTCTCCCTTACTCACTCTCTCTCCCTACCTCACACTCGCACACTCTCTCACCCTTACCCTCACTCTTTCACCCTCTTCCACCCTTTCACACACTCACTCTTACCCTTGCTCTCCAAACATTACCTGTTCCCTTCACTGCGACGGAGCTTCAGCACCTAAAAATAAAACAACTTTAAGGATGGAAATCTTAAACACTATACGCGAACTTACACATAAAGCTCATAATAGATTGAACTGAGCATGCTGAGATAATTTTAGCCCTGTAAAAAGCTATTTTTTCTCCTATAAGAGAATCTTGCGTGGGAAAACCACAAGACATTTACACAAGAAATAAAAATTTGTCAAGCAGAAGTGTTCAATTTACAACCCAACAAAATTTACTAGTTACTTACTATGACGTGATGTCCTTTCATTTGCTCGAACAAAAACTTTCTTATTGTCGTCTGCTCTGAAGCTGCAATGAGTGGATTTAGCTTTTCAAAAGCACACCTTCCTCACTACCAAAATTATTGAAAATCCAAGAGTGCAAATTTACCTGAAAAAATCATCTGGGACTCCAGAGTGTCAAGCACAAACATTTTGATATTTGCAGGAAAAGATTGTGTTATAACGTTATGCATCTGAAGAACTCAGCCTCCCAAAAATTGCATAAACAGTATGATCTCACGCGACTCATAATCCCTGAAAATGCTATTCTTGGTCATCTACATTTACGTATTTAATTTTAAATCTTCTACGTTTCTCGATAACGAAGTAAAGTTTGCTGCTGAAAGGGTAACAGCCGAAAAGAACAGGAACATGAAATAGAAATCTAAACCAATCTGATTTTAACCTTTATTAACCATGATTACATTTGTCAGTATAGCTGTGGCTATAGATGGCTATTGCTTTATTCTTCTCCCGGAAACGCCCGAGAGAAGGTAATGACATGAACAGGTTCTGTTTCTCTTGAAAAAATGCCAACTGCGCTGTCAGGCCTCTGTGATGTTTTCCAAATCTCATTGGAAAAGCGGATGTTACTGAATGATGAACGCTCAACCTTATCTAAAGGAAGCCTACAAACCATCATCGCGCATAATTTATGCGTCAAAAACAACGAG